ATGTATATATATAATACAGTAGATATTGATCAAAGGTGTCTGGGTCATTGGACTCTTAACATTCATCTGAGACTAAGGTGTGAGACTTGTTTGCGAGGGTGAGTGAGTGAGAAAAGTTAAAAGCATGAGAGTCACCAGGATTGTGTGAGGATTAGAAACAGGTTTTAATGAAACTATTAGCATATAATCACTGAATCTACAGTTGTTTAACCTTTGAAATCAACCWTATTTAAGGTGGCTGCCACAACCAACTGACCTTAACAAATATAATGTGGCTCAGATAATTTTACAAGTATTAGGTTTAACTTTGGTGTGGTGGTCCTGGGTCGTCCCTAACCCTCACAACATTATTTAAATGTTTTGGAATACAAGCAGACAGGCGATATGTGTTATTTTAAGAAAATCTATTTTCAATTATGAACCTGAATTTGTGGCAGAAGAAAACAAGCTTAAGCTTTACCCTTTTCAACATTTTCTGGAGGTGCCCTTGTTTATTTGGGACCACCAGAGCTGTCAGTTGAAAAGAAGTTAACCTGGAGCAGCTGACACATTTTTTTATGTTTATAAATTCATCAATTTTCTCTTGGCAGAATTAACATTAAATATTAAGTTTCAAATGTTTTGTCTTCAGAGCTGCAGTACACATAGTGTTTTGTGAGAAATTATTTCAAGAGGTGTTTTGATAAGACACACGTGAACATCGCCCACCTTTGCCTTTCTGCAGTGGGCAATGATAAACCATTTAGAAAGTACCAGAACAGAGCTTTTACATCTCTACGTTAAACAAACATGAAAGTGTTAAAAACGTGCTGGCAGAAACTCAGCCTCTTCATCAGTCATTTTACTCACGCTGTACTCTGATTGGGTTTCAGAGCTGGACATGGTGCTGCTGCTCTGAGCTGAGTCTTTGGAGTCCTGTTCCATCAAATCCAGACACGGGGTCTCTGAGGCCTCACGGGGCACAGCTGCAGCTCCCTGAGGGCCACTGGCACACTGACAGCAGACAGAAGAAAGCCTTAAAGGATGTCTCTGACAGGATATTAACAAAAGCACATGTTAGGTCTCAGGGGTGTCCTCCACAATGAAACCAGATCTGATCTTATCTTCCTGAGACCCAAGCTTCTGCTTGGTGTGCATTTCTAATCTCCTCTAGCTATTTAGGATTAGTAGAGTTTTATGAACATAAAAAATATTGTCTCTGAGCAATAAAGAGATAACAACACTTAAAATCTTGTCCCCCTGAATAAGGACAACTGATATAAAACCAATGTCCTTAACATAAGGAAGGGTCTCAGATGTATTTTTAAGAATGTAAATTTAGGAGAAACTTTAACTAGAGACATTGCATTTCCTGCGAAAATGGTAGTGTGAATGCCTGTTGCTGAAAACTTTAGCTGAAAGCTGCTGAAATTGAGCTGAACATATTTAAGAGCAAAAGTATTATAGTAAGTAAAACTTGAAAAGCTGAAGAAAGCAAATAAAAAGCTAAAAACAATAAAAAGGAGCAAATATATAGCTGAATTAGCATAAAAAGCTAAATGTGAAAGGCTAAACTAGCTTAACATAGCAGAAAGCAACCGTAAGAAGCATAAATAATTCAAATTAGCAGAAAGAAGCACAAAAAAGTAACAAAAAGCAGAAAAATTGTAGAGGGAAGAAGAATTTTAGCGGAAATATCTGAAAAAAAATCTAAAACCAGCAAAAAGGTATAATTTTCACACAGACTAAAAGGAGCAAAACCAGAAAATGATGTGTAAAGTTCTGTAAAGATTTAGAAACGTTATGAAGAAATTTAAGGATGTTGAATAAAGCTCCATTCATTTCCAATGGGAAAAAAGTAGCCAAAACAGCTGTGGCCACAACAGCCTATATGCCACGGTCATTAATGACGTATTTACGGTAAAATTCTTGCCACGCTCCTCCCTTCCACTTCCTGCTTACTGCCTATGTTTTTAGCGTTAGCTGCTAGTACTAGTCTGTGAAAAAGTCACAAAAGTTAAAGCATCTGTGATCTACTGGTATAAAACGTGAGTTCTGTTGCGTGTCGTTGTGTTCACTAACCAGCAGGTACAATTGAGTAGTTGGCTTTTATCAGTTTTCCTCTTGATGAGGAGGTGCCAGCAGAGGAGCATTACAGGGAAAACTTATCTTTAAAAGCTCACATTTGTGTTTGTAATCAGCATTTCTAACCTGAGGATATTCAAGAGTCAGCATCAGAAATGAGAAGACGGAGGTTACAAAAGAGAAATGTACATTTATCCCCTTTTACTGCCAAGACGAGAGAGGACAGACCTCCTCACAGCTAGCAGGAGCTAACACAGCAGCCGGTATAAAGGTAGGTGTGTGTGTGCACGCGTTTGTATTATATGAAATGTTTTTATGCGACTTTGTCATGAGTTTTATGCAAAAGTAAAACCTTGTTAGATTGTATATTACAGCGTAGACTAAAGCCGAGCGACAAMCACCCCCGCCTGATAATCATCACGTTTTCAGTTCACTAACYTTGGGGAAAACGATCCAAACCATACAAGTATCCCATCAGTTTAAAGCCCAGACTCTGCTCTTTCCAACAATATAAGTGTCYCAGCTCTACATGAAAAATTCACAGAACAAGCAGCCAAGGAATAGTGAAAAAGGCTAAATTCTGGAACCATAAACACAAARGTCTTTCCTTTGTTTTTATGGCTTTAATCCACTTTGGAGTGATTTTTTTCCTCTTGTCTGGACCTGTACGTCTCCTGTGTTAATGTTGGTACATGTAATATGATAATTCTGTACTGTGGAGATCATTAAGAGTCGTTGTCGGGTGAAAAACTCTTTRYCTAACACTGTGTTGACCGTGAACTGGAAGTGTTGGGAGTGGCATCCAGTGCTGGACCGGATGTCTGTGGCATATAGGCTATTGTTCAGTTTTCTTGAGGCTTATAGAGCTTGCTCTCAGCTACCAGTACATAAGTTTTCATGTCAAAATCTCAAACATCGGCTGAATAAAAGGCCTTCAAAACTAGCACTGGTGGCCATCTTAGATTTTTTTCGGCTGCTGTTTATGATAGAGCTAAGTCTCAGGTAGCTATATATTGATTTTTAGCTCATTATATCAAAAATTGGCCAAAATCAAGTAATTTGAACTAACGTTAGTTAATAACAGCTAAACTTTAGCTAAAATTGCAGCAAATAGCTAAATATTGCAGAAAACAACTGTAGGAAGCACAAATAACACTAATTAGCAGAAAAAAGTATAGCAAAGCAGAAAAAAGCAGAAGAATAGCAGAAAGAAGAATTTTAGATTATATAACAGTAAAAAGCTAAAGGTAGCTTAAAAATAAGCTAAAGGTAGCAGACTCAAGTTGAAAGTAGCACCCAGATGGTGAAATGTTTGTAAAAAATTCAAAATTAGCAGAGAAAACCCCATAAAACTACTAAAAAGTGATCATTTGAAGTAAACCAGGTAAAACAGCTGAAGTTTTAATTAAACAGCTAAAATGTAGCTTGAAACATTTTAATTAGCACAAGGATGTATAAGGAGCACAAGTTTGTCGAATTTTGCAGAATTAAGTTGAAATAGTTCCAAAATAATGTGTAATTGGCAAAGAAAGCTAATTTTGGCTAATAACAGCTAAAATTTAACTAAATTTATAGAAAATAGCTGAATATAGCAGAAAGCAACTGTAAGAAGCCTAAATAGTACAAATTAGCAGAAAAAAAGCACAAATAAAGCAGGAAAAACGCACGAGAATAGCAAAAGAAGCAGAACTTTAGCTGAAATAGCAGAAAACAGCTAAAGTTCGCAAAAAAGTAGCTAAAATTTGCAGAAGAGAGTAAAATAGAGCATAACCAGAACAAATTGTGTAAAAGTTTTGTAAAGATTTAGAAAATATTTGAAGGATTTTAAGGTAGTTGAAAATAGACCCATTCAAAGTCAAMTGGAAAAAAGTGGCTAAAACATTGAAATAGCTAAAAAAGTATAAATAGCTGAAATACCAAAAGTCATAGCRGGTATTGCACGGAAGAGCCGAACGTTTTGATATATGAATGGTTGAAGAAGCACAAAAATTGTGGAACGAGAAAGGTGCTGAAAACCGTACGGAAGAAAAAAACGATCTTAATGCTGTGAATGCCTTTATTCACAGCATGAGTTGAGTTTGACAGAACTTTTTAAATCAAAGGTACGAAGTGTAAATAAAATCTAAACTAGACCTGTGTGTAACTGAAGGTGACTGATTAACTCCTGTGTTGCTGTGTTTGTCAAATAACAGAAATGACAACAAATCTTCTGAAACTGTGTTCAGGCTTTTGGTTTTGATGCCATCCCTGGATTTCCAGTGGCCTCTCCACGGACGTGTGTTCTGCCTGATTCAGTCATGGAGCTGTGAAAACAGAGCTGATGTGTGTTGAAATCAGGCAGCACTTCAGTCGAGTTTCAGTCAGCTTCGTCTCAGCTACTGTTTCACTTTCAAACCGTCACAAAGATAAACAGGCCTCGGGTGCTGCAGACTTTAATAAGCCAGGTTACGTTTTCAAAAGCCAATCTGGTCTAAAACACTGGAAAACTTCAAACTGACTGACAGGACAATTGTTTGAACAGAGAGGTCTGATGGGCCTCCAGCAGCACCGGTGGGGGGTGGGGTGGGTGGTGGGGGGACAGCAGGAAAAAAAAAACATTGCCAGTTTTTCAAACTGCTAAATAGTTAAACAGTTTGGTACATTCTTRAGTGAATAAATGTTTGAGGAAGCTTTTAGACCAGAATCTGGGCCCACTCAAGTGTTGTTCCCCCATRGAGATCTGGTTAACCACCAGCTTTCTTCTGTTTCCTGCTGATTCTGTTGTTTCAGGCAACAGTGTTTGAAGTAAAATGCTAAAAGAAAACATAATTTATTTTTGTCAGTTGAAACAAGGAACCATCTTGGTGGTTGTACATCTCCTATACTGAAGCAGTGTTTCCCCTGGAAATTGGTCTTGGCGGGGTGGGGAGATGGGGGGCTACTTGTTTTATAAAAACATCAATTTACGTGACTCACCTTCAATTATGGTTATAAATTTACACATACATGAATATTTAATTGCCTAACTACATCCTAGTTAAGGACTCCTCATGGTAATTATCAATAAAATTATTATTGATAATAAGTGATCAGAACTGTGTGCAGCTGTGTTAAAGTGCTGCTTTATTTGACTTTTCTACCATCATCAATGAAAGATGTTGGTGAATAATTAATGCAACACTGGATGAAAACTGTGACACTGCAGAAACTWATCAAACAACGCCACAGAGAACGTGTGCTCTGTTCAAAGCTAAAGGTCCAACAAAATATTATTTTTACTGATGACTATTTTTGGCCAGGCTGCGTACATGATATGAGGATAGGTTAACATATATCACATGAGTTATATTCATTATTGCATTTTGTGTTTCTTCCCTTCTTCTTTCCGAAGGCAAAACTACGTGACTGAATTCCTGCAAAACAAGAATTTCTCACCTCAGTTTGATACTATTCCTACAAACAGTATCCTTACCACATGACACATATTCAGGCTTTTTGATTTTTAAATACATATTCACAGCTTCATTTTATTTAGTTTGCAATGTTGGAATTAACACTTTAAAACCTAATATTTTTAATATGCAGGGATAGGTAAAAACACCTCCAGCTCCAGCACACTGAGCACCAGAGCCCCTCAGAGACTAAGAGCTCATCTTCCACCAACCATCCTCACCACGTTCTACAGAGGAACCAGACTGAGCATCCTTAGCAGCTGCATCACTGCCTGGTACGGATTCTGCTTCAGACTGTAAGTCCTTACAACGTGTAGTGAGAACAGCAGAAAGGATCATCGAGGCCTCTCTACCTTTTCAAGGATACTGTCAACACAGTGCATCCACAAAGCAGCCCACATTGTGGATGACCAGACCCACCCCGAAGCTTTTGAGCTTCCACTTCTAGAATGGCAAACAGTTTCTTCCCCCGACCATTAGACTAATGAAAAATGATTGACACATCCAGAATATCTCTTTGACTACTGATCTCATACCACTGCATATTGCACAATAGTGCATAAATCTGAACATTCGGTCACTTTGATAAATCACTCAACATGTTTCTTTTTTCCCACAGTTCTTGCTGTAACCTTAGTCTAGTTTAGTTCCAGTTTTACTCAGACCATTAGTTTWCCTCAGTTTGGTTTATGTTTAGCTGTATGTTTAGTAACAATATCCTGTTGTCCCCAGTCTTTAGCATCATGCTAATGGAGTCATTTGGTTTCACTGTATCCTATGCATATCGTATGAATCTGACTTGAACTCTTTATGTTTTATTTTGTGATAAACTGTAAAGGCCAAAGTTGACTGTTAAAAATATCTTAATATAGTCAAGTAAAGATTTTTTGTAGAAAATTTAGTTTTTTTGTTATTAAATTTTTAAGCAAAAGATCTGTAAAAAATAAAAAAGCCTTACTGTGAAGTTAAGACCAAGATAAACTGAAAATTGTAGAATTTCTAATGTTACAAAGGACAAAATCCAAACAACCAAAATAACAGTAACTTCGATGTTAATKTTTACAGCATCTTTCTGGCCTGAAGCAGAAACAGAAGTCTTTTCTGACTTGTCTGAAACTAAGTTCAGACCAGAGCAGAATCCAGTMGYTAAATTATTAAGATGGATTTATCAGAATATAAAACTAGACACCACATAGCTGTAACATAATGACCCCCGCACAAATGCACCAGAACTCAGAAGTGTTTATTCCTAATAAATGTCATGCTACCAGGTGCATCCCAAAATTGTAGTGGCTTGGGTGGGGGTCTTTTTTTGGGGGTGGCATTGATTGACCTGATGGATAGCCCTTCATCAGAGCTATCCAACCAAAGAAAATCTGAAGCTCCTATGTTTAATAG